CAGATTGCATTTAAAAACATAAGAGACGCAGTGAAAAGGAATAAACCTCCACAAATTCGCGACGTGTTTTCTAAAAGTTTAAACTGTTTTAACTTTGCATGGCTACATCTCTTGTGTGAGACGCGAGTGCAGCAGTCATATTTGTCCGTTTAAAAAAAATGCGCTGATCACAGGCAGGCACAGCACTCAATTCAGCATGTGTTTGTGTGTGCTGTCTGCATCACTCATAGCACATGCCTATATCGTACGCTATATCGAACAATATATCGTTATCGAAGAAGGTGTAGCGTCGATAAATATCGATACCGTTTTATCGCCCAGGCCTATCTAAAGCAGGGTAATTATAGTTCACGTAAACTAAAACCATCAAAAATTCATTACCTGAATATAAAACATAAAAAAAAACAACCATTTTATTTCAACTAGTTGACAAGGCAACATTTATCATTTTCATTTGCAGTAGTTTATCCTGACGTACTACAATAAAAAAAATAATAAACACTAGACATTTAACAACAAAAACAACAAATTATGAAACGCAATAAAACGACTAAAAACTTAAATTAAAATGACTATAATAGTATCTTTGATGGACAAATGGAGAAATGTCTAATGTGAACAGCATTCAAACTTGTTCATGTGGGAAATTATTGGGTTCATGAAATGATGAAAAGCTAATAATTAAATTATAAAAATGTAAAATGTAAATGCATTATATGCACTATTTTGGTAATAAATTATATTTTAACTGTAACTGAATGTGGGGTGTTACTCAAAGTTTTTCATCTGATATTTATATTTTCTTTTGTTTCAGCTTTATTTTATATATATATATACACGCGCACACACACACACACATAATATACTTTTCATCACAGGAGCATGTCAAGTTCATTATTGACCACAAGATCACAAGAAAAAGGGACGTGGTACTTTTTTATTTATAGAACCTGTTTAATTTTTTTAAGGATTGTGATATTATTTTAAAAATTAACTACATTTCCCCATTATTGTACTGCATCAGGACATTATAAAAAATATAATGTATATTTTATTTTACTAATTTATTAGAGCAGTTCAATTACATTATATTTATTTATATTTACACTTTATTCATAATTTATATTTATTTTGTTATTTTCTTTATTTTTTGTTCATGTAATACAGTCTAAATGTAAGTGTAAATGTTGTATACCTAATTATTTTGAAATATATATATATATATATATATAAATCATTTTAGCTTCAGTTAACATTGAAATATTAACTTAAAATCTGTATTTATATATATTATTGCATGTTAATGTATGTATATGCTAACTACTTTGAACATTCCATATATATTCAGTGTAAATGTAAACAATTTAGTAATTTATTATAATTAATGAGTATAATTTAGTGCAGTATCAATACTTTACAAAAAAATGTTTCTCTTAATAAATATCAGCATCTTTACAAATTTATCTTATCATATTTATGTGTGCTACACATATACTGTAATGATGCTGTAATAATTCCTGTCAGAAAATACAAATGACGTCCTCATTGTTAATTATACAAAAAAGTTGTAACATTTTTATTTACATGAAGAATATCCAAACTGACGGACTAGTAACCTCACAGTTGAATCACAGTAAATCATTTCCGCTAGCATGATCAATGACACTGAATCTGAAGCGTCTTCATAATTTGCTTAATCTGCGATTCAGCAGGTCTTTAAACCCAGAAGCTGGATCGTCCAAGTTAAAGCCGACCTCAAACTCGGGCTTCTTTCCGAGGGCCAGCACAGCGACGGTTACGGCCAGAGCGGCGGTCAGACCCCAGATCTGATGGATGTTACCTGTGCTGGGGTCAGTGTACATGAAGCTGTGGGTCGGGCCGAAGACGCTGGGCACAGGATAGCCGGAGTGATCCGCCGCTTTAGTGAAAAACTCCAGAGGAAGAGTGAACACCTCGCTCACCTCGTCTGTGTTTGGACGCGCTTCGAAGGAGTCCTCAATGAAAGCCACCACCGGAGTGATCAGAAGACCAGCCTGAGGAAACCATTTCAGCCGTTACAACTGGCCAAAGCAGACCATTCATTAGCCACAAATTAATCAATAAAAAGCTTACTGCATCCTGGCTCGCTAAATTCTTATTTAGTGGTTACGTGCATTTTACTAAAATGCTTATATATTTTTTTTTTCATTTCAAATAATTTCATTAAATATATTCAAATAAAGTATACATTATAATCAATATATACTATAATAATTTATTAAAATACAAGCAGACACCACAGAATAAGAATGTATTTAGTGAGCTATACAGTAACATTAATAATGCACGTTTGAAATTTATAATAATGAAATGACAATAACGATAGTACTTTTCATTAAAAATTAGATATGTTTTGTAAATAAGTATTTGATGCTTACCAAGGCTGCATTTATTTGATCAAATATACAGTAGAAAATATTACAATTTCAATAACTGCTATCTATACTAAGATATTTTAAATATAATTTATTCCTGTATTTTCAGCATAATTTCTCCAGTCTTCAGTGTCACATGATCCTTCAGAAATCAGTCTAATATATTGATTATTATCAATGTTGAAATCAGCTGTACTGCTTTATATTTTTGCAGAAACAGCATACTTTTCCCCCAGGAATGTTTGATGAATAGAACGTTCACAAGAACAGCATTTATTTATTTATCTTTAACAATTATAAATGACTTTTCTGTCCCTTTTTTTATCAATTTAATGCGTCTGCTCAATACAAGCTTTTTTTTTTAAACAAATTGCAGTGACTCCAAATTTTTGAATGGTATTGTATATAACAATATTATTTGTTTTTTTTATTAAAATTCCCATATAAACTTTAACATCCAATTAAAAAATATTTGTATAGTAAAATTCGCTAATTCACGAGATCAATATATAGGGATTTCGCCTAGGGCGTCAAATTGGCTAGAAACGGCCCTGTACACAATGCATTATAAATGTAGATATAAATGTATATTATTATTATTATTATTATTATATTCAAAAGAAAGCGTCAGCGGACCTTGTTGAGGACGGGGAAGAGTTTGCAGATGACCTGCACGGTGTCAGGAGGAAGCCCGATCTCCTCCTCTGCTTCTCTGAGAGCGGTGTGAACTTCATCTCGGTCACCGGACTCACGCTTTCCTCCCGGGAAACACACTTCACCCGCGTGCTGCTTCAGCTGCAACACACCCACACGCTCTCAATACACGCTCATGCTATGAATGCAGTGTACATCAAGACAGTAGCCTACACGGCGAGCTCAGTGTGAGGGTCCTCACGTGAATGGCGCGCACGGTGAGCAGGAGCCGCAGCTGTCCGTCTCTCAGCAGCAGCGGGATCAGCACCGAGGCTCCGGGAAGCGCCGGTAAACGGAGGAGCTCCTCGCCGCTGTCGTGCTTCTTCAGTGCCGCGACGGTTTTCTCCTTCAGATCCATCGCGGCGGATATGAGCTCCTGTCAGGACACTTTCCCAGTGCTCTGTGAGGACGCTTCCGCTTACCTCAGCGCTTCCCATAATGCTCCGGTTCTTTGTGTGAAAACACTTCTGGATAAACATACAGCTGAGCACAGAAATAGAACAAGCAGTTAACGTTAGAGTGGTTAATAGGGGCGGGGCTAAGCGGCTCGGAAGTTGTCTCTTATTGGTTAGAGATGTTCGTGCCATTTCAAGTGACACTATTACAGTTTGTTTCACTTAAATTATATTATATATTTTTTATGTCTAACAGACACACTTAAAAATAAAAGGAGGATTTCTGAGTTGATAAATCAACTGTAACTGTTTAATAGTAATTAATATGCCCAAAATTAGGTATTTATTTTTATTCATTCGTGTCGATTAAAATGCAAACTGTTTAGCTGATGAAACATTTTCTTATAGGCAAGGCAAGGCAAGTTTATTTATATAGCACATTTCATACACAATGGTAATTCAAAGTGCTTTACATAAAAGAAAAGAAAAAAATAATAATCACAACAATAAAACAAGTAATTTAAAAACTCTGAAAATGATTAACAAATTGATTTAAGAGGTTTAAAATTAATTTAAAACGGTTAAGAATAGAAAACGATTATACATAAAATATAGTGCAATCAGTTCGGACATCGCACAGTGCTCATTCAATAAATGCACAGCTAAACAGATGAGTTTTGAGTCTGGATTTAAATGTGACTAATGTTTTAGCACATCTGATCTCTTCTGGAAGCTGATTCCAACTGCGGGCGGCATAATAACTAAAAGCGGACTCCCCTTGTTTTGTGTGTGATATTGTGGTCGAATCTGTCTAACCTCTGCATAACTTGGGGATGTGCTAATCGCCTTCCTGATATTATTGATCTAGAATATAATATATATATAATATAATAATATAATATATATATAATATATATATTCTTATAGAAAACTTATGTAGACAAAAACGTCATAAAACTTTTTTTTTTTTTTTTAATTACACGTGATCCAGGAACTTTATACAGTGAAACAAGAAGTCTTCTTCGTTTGCATTTTATTTGACTTGAAGAGTTGCTCTTGTCCTTTTTTTTTGTCTTTTTAAGGCATTACATTGAGCATTTTTTTAGGCCTTTTAAGCATTACATTGTCATGGCAACAAAGTAAAAGCTTTACACAGAAAAGCTTAGTGAGCCATTATTATTTGGAATAGTGCACCCAAAAATAAAAAAATCTGTCATCATTTACTCACCTTCACGTCGTTCCAAACCTGTATGAATTTCTGTCCTCCGTCATGCACAAAAGAAGATATTTTGAAGAATGATTGTAACCAAACAGTTGACATTGACTTCCATAGTAGGGTCATGGTGTCCTTATCAGAATCACTCAGTCATCATGAACATAATACAATATAATGAAATACTGAACTTATATGATAAATGACCAAACATTTGCACACATATAACTACAATTACAGTCTCTTGAAATTTATTTTTCTAATTTTATACCATTTTCTTTGATTGGATGTATTTGATTTTGGCATGTCCCTCACGCAGCTCAGCTAGCTTCAATGTAGGGGTGTCCCCGACTAAGGATTTTCATAGTCGAATCTGAATCTTCGAATCTTGCCGATAGTCGATTGATAGTCGGATCATATGTTTGGGGGCGGGGCAAAAGACATTAAAGGGGTCATATGATGCAATTTCAATTTTTCCTTTCTCTTTGGAGTGTTACAAGCTCTTGGTGCATAAAGAAGATCTGTAAAGTTGCAAAGACTAAAGTCTCAAATCCAAAGAGATATTCTTTATAAAAGTTAAGAGTCAGCCACGCCTACCTAAAACGGCTCGTTCTAACACGCCCCCACATACCTACGTCACTATGTGGGAAGATTTGCATAACGCCGCCCAAATGTTCACGCAAAGAAAGAAGGCGTAACTTTTATTCTCGCTGTGCACATTTTATTGAGTACTGTTTCCTGATCCTGGTAGAGTAGATTACAATGCCGGCTGTTTTGACTCACAGACTGTAAGTACGTTTTTTTATATTAAAGGATTTGCCACTGATGATTCAAATGCGAGTTTTGAGCAGTGTAGAGTAGCACTTGTTGTTTGTCATTTCTCCGATCACAAATGCAGACAGGGTTTTATGTTTACGCGGCGCGATGCAACGCAACACGTAAAAAGACAGTATAATTCATTATAATCCGTTATTTCATTACACCAAATACACAAAATAATGTTCTTTTTAGCAACGTCATATGAACCCTTTAAGACAAGTCAGACATTGGAATGTCATAATTAGCCTACGTTAGGGAAAATGTGTAACGGACGCCTCGCAGATACAAAAATAGTGTTTTGATTGAAAGGTAGTTAACATTAAACATCAGCGAAACTCTAAGAATTCACAACATTTTGTATAATAGTGCTCTTATTATAACGTTATGTATGTAGTAGGCTAGTTATTAATGTTCTGCATTTCTGTTTTGAGCTGTGCGCGCTGAAGATGACCAGTAGAATGAAGCAGCAGGTTTTTAATCAATGGGATTTAACTCATCATTTATCTCATATAGAATACGCTTCGTTATTTATACAACATAACGTACGACTTATAGGCTATTGGTTGAGTTGCGCAGCAGTAAAGCGGTTACGGTTATTATCTCTTCAGTGTGCAGCGCGAGCAGGACAAACAACAATGAAGAATATTAATAACTATGACTGGGACTGTCATATAGGCTACATAACATAATGAGAACACTATTATAATAAAACGCTGTGCATTTTTAGAGTTTAGTTTCCGTGTTTCCGCACGTTGTTGCGTGAAGAACGCGTCCACAAAAGGAGTTCATTCAGAGCCGCGCAGACACTTTCATGCATTCGGGGCATTTTGTGCAGATGCATCTTATACGAGATAAATAATATATACACGACATATATAAACCGGCTGAAATGTTTTCACTTGTACCCTACCTGATAGAAAAAATCCAGTCTTTCACTCTGTCTGTGTCAGTTTGAGTCTTGTTAAAGTTTTAAATCGCTGCCGCCAAGATGCTCCTCTGTCGGTCACGGACTATAGAAAGTGAAACTTAAATCTATAGGGGTGGTTGGATTTATTCACGCACTTTAAAATATTAATTTAAAGCTTCTTTCTTTTCAGATTCTTATTTACAGCATTATCTTAGGCTGTATATTAACTTTGGGAGAAAACCGGTAGTTTTATGTGAAATCAGACATTTGAGCACCCCCATATAGCCAAAATGGCATGATCATAACACCCCGCGAATATTCGACTGTGAGATTGCTATTCGAATCAGGCTCCTCCTATGGAAGCATCTAATTGTGGACTATTCGGGGTCACCCCTACTTCAATGAGTGTAAAAAGTGGTTAAATAACACAATATTGAAATAATTTTTAAATATTCTTATTGCCCTCAGCCAGTTGTTAATAAAACAAGTCAGATTGTTCATTTATATTCTATTTTCATAATAATATTAAGCATTTTGCACGTGTCCCTGAAATTGCTGTCCACCCTGTCATGATGTTGTAAATGCCCCTTTAAGAAACCCTCTGATCTACTGTGAAATCTCCACCCCCATTTTGCCTTTCTTCAGTGGAGGTTAAAACATAAGTACCTACACTTATATTTCCTAATTTTCATCATATTGTGTTTGTAGTTCCATGTTGCCAAGCTTAACAAGTCCACCCTGTCATAGTAAAACATTCATTTACATAAAAGTTTTTCAGAAATTCAAAATATATATTTTAAGCAGTACACATTCAGCTTCAACAATGAACTACTTTGCTCACTGAAGGTACAGCATGTGTTTATTAAATGCTAACTTTAACCAAAAATGTCCACCCTGTCATTGTCCACCCTGTTACCAAGCCTGCATGACAGGGGGGACATGTGCATAGTTTTTGCCAAATTCTGATAATGTTTTAACAAAGGCTATTGATTTAACATGTTAAATTGGTGTGATTAATTATGGAGAAAAAATTTAGAATTTATAAATGCATTTAATGCACCCCAGCCCAGAACTGTATGCTATCTTACATTGCATGCAGTTGCTTAGTGATGAACATGATGGAAGGCAACAACTCACTGTGATGTAGACTATTAAAATGCAGTTAGAATTTGCCTAAAATTCAAGATAAGTGGGCAAAAAATGCCCAAAGCAAAAGTGCCATTTTCCTGAATATCTGCTCGATTGCAAATGTGATATTGACTTTATACAACAGTTCAATAATAATAATAATAAAAGAGTTATATTTTAAACACAATACTGTCAGTATTGTCTGTTTTTGTTCTATTTCTCCAAAGAAAATAGTTCCAAAAAATCCACAGTGAAACTATTGTGCATCTCTGAGTAACACAAAGCGGTGTTTCATTACTGAATAAATCCGTGTTTTTAACAAATCTGGTAAGTGGCTTTAGTTTCATACTTAAGAGTATCATTTAATTTTTTATTACTTTCCTAATTTAATATTACATTTTTAAAAACCCATTAATACCCATTTAAAAAACCCATTAATCTCATAGCATTATTTCTAAGTGCAGTGTATACAGTTTGTGGAAATTAATATTATATATATATATATATAACAGCCTCTATTCTAATTTAAATTATTGATTAAAATGTAAGAATTTGACCAAATATCATGCATACATCTAATAAGGTAAGAAAAAATGGCCTTATAAATGTAAAAATACCCTTTTAAATAAATTTCCAATTTCCAATTGCAGTGTAGAATATATATTTCTGAAATCATTCTTTATATTACTTAAGGGTTTCTTGTTGTTCCTGTTGTTTATCTGATGTCCTCTTCACCCATTAATGCATTTGTCCACCCTGTCATCTTCATCTTTTATGAAAATAAACAAATTATTTAAACAAGTTAGCCAAACCTTTTGTGTGATTTCTTTATAAAGAAATGAGGGCCAGTTAGTATTCATTGAAAGTTTGACCAGATATCGTTGTCGTTTGATTTTATTTAGAAAAGAAAGTGCAACTTTTGCATATTTTATAGGGATTTTTTCAAAAGACTTTTCCAACTAAGTAAAATGTATTGTTGAAAAAGGGACAAAATATCTTTCTGAAAATCTACATTTTATAATTACTATGTAATGAAAATGTATATACTCTACTTTGAATTTGTCCATAACAGGGTGGACACATTTTGTGGTTTACTCGAAAATGGTCTGCTTGCAGTTATTTTATAAAAAGTGCTGGAGCTTGACCAATATGCATTTCTAACATCCTACAGTCTCCTTAATACAACAAATATGAAGTTTATTTAAAAAAATCTCATATTTTTATTTTGGAAATTGTGAAGTCTCAAAGGCACTTCATAGTGACCCAGTACGGAAAAAATTACCATGCAAATCAATGGCTAAGGTCAACTGTTTGGTTACCCACATGACATGAGTGATAACTGAATTTGAACTATTCTTTTAAGGAACACATTGTCTGCGGTACGTGCCGGTTAAGGCTAGATGGTATACAGATTTGTCTACTGGGCATGCGCACATCAATATAGCGTATCTATATAACAGTAATAGAATAGAGAAATAATAGACGTTAAACCTAACCCTAACCCTAACCCCAACCCTAACCATAACCTTAACCCTACACTCTTAAAAATAAAGGTGCTTCACGATGCCATAGAAGAACCTTTTTGTCTAAATGGTTCCATAAAGAACCTTTAACATCTGAAGAACCTTTCTGTTTCACAAAAGGTTCTTTGTGACGAAAGAAGGTTCTTCAGATTATAAAACGGTAAGAAAGAGATGGTTCTTCAAAGAACCTTTGACTGAATGGTTCTTTGTGGAACCAAAAATGGTTCTTCTATGGCATCGCTTGAAGAACCTTTTGAAGCACCTTTATTTTTAAGAGTGTAACCCTAACGCTAACACAATCTAATTTTGTGAAAACTTTTATTGTTAGCTTCCGGTTTTAGCTGTATCCCTTAATTTACGTCTAAGGGGGTTGGCTGACAAAACGTCTGAGTGTTGCTATAATGGACCCTTTTCACAAGACTGTGATGACACGTTTAACAGCCATCAGCATCGTAAATCCTCGAAAGTTTTTCATATTTTTTATTTTTTTATAACACTATTCTTTGTATTATATCACTTTTTCATCAAATTACAAAAAATCTAGTTTACGTTAATGCGTGGGTGTTTATTAATGCTGCGTCTATGGGAGGGACGATAAATTTGACATCGTTCTCTCTTCTGACTGTCGTTATCAACCTCTCTCATTTTTTCCCCCTTTTATTGAAAGTCATGAAAACACTATCGTGGAGATTTTCTTTCGCTATTTGAACAAATGGGAATGCAAAAAAACATATTTGTGGTACTCTCCCATTAACTGCTCTTCAAGTTAACCCAACTATGACGACTTCCGCTGCTGAGAAACCCGGAAATGTGAAAAAGGTCCACGGAGCGGAAAAGCCTCTCGATCGGCCTCTGGAGGTGAAATGAAGAATGACCAGGTGGAGCTGTCCATTTTCATATTTGAAACACACAGAAGACACAGAGAACGTGAATAAAAAAAATAGCATAAAGAATAAAGGAACAACCATCAAATCTGAACCATGGGGAAGTGTGTTTGCTAAATAAAAAAATAAATCAAGGTTACAGTGAGGCACTTCTGTACTACAGCGGAATAATATCTTTAATGCCCTTCGAATTTTGATCTCTTTCATCTTTTCATCTTTACTCTTAACTCTAACTAATTGAAAAAATGGTGTTTGAAAATCAATAGCCTACAAAACTGAATATTGAATGTAAATTAGAATATTAATTGTAAAATATATTGTATAATAATACTAATAATAACAAGGTAAAAGGTGGAGATTTTACAAAGTTTTAGTGCAAAGTAGCTAATTAAACCGTACAGTAAGTATGAGGAATCAAGATGTATGGTAAAAGGTGTTGTGAGGGCGCTTCAGAAATGTTTTCCAGAGCAGCTGTGGCCTAACTTGGATTTTCCCAGCTGTAACATGTCAGACTCAAAGTTAATCATCATCAGAAACTGCAGTGCTCTCAGAAACTGAGCAGCTCTCCTGTTTCATTTAACTCACAGCCAATTTGAATTCACATTTGAAATGTTACAGAAAGGCTTTTATCTGGTTTGGCTTCTGTTATTATTTGGGTTGAGCAGCAGTGGAGCGCTGAAGGACCCTCATCCAGAGCTTTCCGATCAGGAGCTTTTCTGGGGAGCCGATCAGTATGACTTTTCCATCATGCTGCGTGCTGGAGACCTCCAGTGCTTCTGGCATTTTGCTCACTTCGGCGAGCGCTTCTACTTAAACTTCATGGTAAGACATTGATAAGGCATTATTCTACATGTAAATATAGGTATGGTCTTGAATCCTTGGAATTATATAGTTCACTCTGTGTTTGTTCAGGTCCAGCTGGTGACTGGTGTGGCTCTGGACAGACATCTCTCTGTGACTGTTAATGCTCCGAGCGGTTTAATAGTCGGCACAGTTGACGATGCAAGTGGTCAGATCGCCTTCAGTGTTCAGGAGACTGGAAAGTCATAAGAGTTTTAGTATATCTGCTGCTACTTTATGAACAGATTTTTAAAAAATGTTGTATTTGATTCAAAGTTGATTTCACATGTAACATTCATGTTGGTCTGAATTTGTATACTGTTATTTAAAACATTAAAGGAAAAAATATACAGAATTAATTATCATCAAAGTGCCATAATCATATTCAAGCTTTGAAAAGAATGAATTAAAAAAAATCTTTATGTGTGCAGGTTTTTATCAGATGTGCTTCAGTAATTTCCACAATCGC